AGCTTCTAGTTACTAATTAGTAGTAATGCCCTAGTAGCGATGCCCTTATTACTAGTAGCTTCTAGCCCTAATTATTAGACCTTTCGTCCGTTTCTTGAGCTTCTTGTGAACCAAAATGCTGCAGGGCTTCCCCTGCCAGATCCTCTCAGAATCCCTGGCGTTGCGAGAGGAGGGGCGAGCCAACATATGACGAATGACTGGAAAGCTCCTAGTAGCGATGCCAGGAGCCCCTAGTAGCGTTCCAGGGATAGCTACGTAGGAGTCAAAACCGGGAGACCTTGGTAGACCCATCAAAAGGAACAGAATCGTCTACATGGGAGGTCAAACCTACTTGACTGACAGCCATGTGACTTGAGCTGCGTGTATAAAGCGTTTTCCATCGTCAGCTGCAGAGGAATCTCATTTCATCTCGCACTGAGTTCCATCAGGACGCCGCCTATGCAGGTGTCTCCTCCTTCGGCTTTGGTGGCACTAATGCCCATGCCGAGGCACCACGGCCGCAGCTCGCTGCCGCCAGCTCCAGCCAACACCGGTCTCGCTTTTCCAACACGAACGAGTCGACTTCGCGATGCAGAAAGGGAAGTTTGTTTCCCCTTTGAAAAAGTCTAAACCAAATCTTTGAGGGTTCAGACTTCTTCAAGGAAGTTGATAAAAACCACCCTGGGAGGGGGAGCTTCGTTGAAGAAGCCTGAGGTTTTTTGCTGTAGTAGCTACGTAGCTACTTGTATAACCTACTTCCAGCCTGCCCTCATTGCAGTAAAGATAAGTAACTTTAACTGCAGTAACTTTCGCACCTGAACCTTGGCTCAGGCTTGGGGCAAAAACATCATGAACTCGCGTGGGTGCATGGTCTCCGATCCCATCAAGCTCTTCGAACGAAAGTTGGCCAAGGCCAGACTCGCCGTGCAGCGGCGCCACAGCGCGCACGGCGCACGGCGCACGGCGCACGGCACGGTGAGCCACACGCCCCCTGGTACCCCACGGTCGTGCCCAGTACCTCACAGTCTCCACCTGGTCCAGAAGGTATCTTGAAAGCTCCTAGTAGCTTCTTGCTCCTAGTAGCGATGCCCTTTGCTCCTAGTAGCGTCCTCTACTTTATTTGCAAGTTTAGCATGTTTCATGTGGGCTCAAACTGACACCTGCCAGAAACCCAATAGCGGATCAAACTGCATGTTTTAGAGGTGCTTGTGCTCGGTGAGGCGCCTCCGGCGGAGATCACCATGAACGGTGACGATGTGCGGGACTGGGAGACCACTGGGCCAGGGCACCTCAGACGACCATCGATAGCGTCCGATCGCTCCGTTCGCAGCGATGGCCTCCAACCGAAGAGCGGGCTTTAAAAGAAAAGCATTACCAACGGGCACTCTCCTTTGCACTGAGGCTCAGAGGAGCTGTCCGTGGAGATCGGGTAGAATTGTTTACTGTAAGAGTCCTGAGCCAATGGGAAACCAAAAGAATGGGCAGTTAAGATGGTGCCAGATGGTACTTTTCTTTTCCATAGGGCTCTGGAACGCGCTTTGTTCCGTACGGTTGCTTCCATGCCTTCTCGCGTCAGGCTGGACCCTGCTGGCGAGATCGGCGACCGATACATGATCGAGCTCGATGAGGTGGGAAACGGAAGCGGCGCGAGTCACGAAGGTGCCGTTGCGAACAGAGTCACTGACAGTGTCGTTTGTGGCTTGCAGGATGGCGTGGCCACTTGGGAAAAGGTAGACGAGGAGAAGCTGTTGGGAAGTTGGGTGGTCAGAACAGACAAGTTGCTGTGGTCTTTCAGCGGGCGTTGATCAAAACGAAATGCCCGGAAACCAGGTCGCTGAAGTGTCCAGCAGTATGAGCAGTCGACACGTCCACTCGGATTGGCGAAGATGTTCCTTTTGATACCACGCGGAGGGGATTCACTGGCTCTAAGACCTTTTCACAGGCTTTTCGGTAGATTCTTGCTTGAGTTTTGCAGGAGCTTGTTGACTGGGGCGATGACTTCTTCATTCAGGGCACGTCCTTTGGCAGCAGATAGGCAGATAGGTGATAGGTGTTGTTCAATGCTTTTGATATCGCATGCAGCAGCCCTTGAGGTTTAACAATTGGGATGCTGAAGCGATGGAGAGGCACGGGGGGGGGCCAGAGAAGGAACAGGGGCACAATTTTGCAGAGGGACAATTAGCCCAGGTCGGAAGATCAAGTTTCGTTCAAAGGAGGTTTATCAATGGCGTCTCATGCCATGACGCGACAGTTGGTGAATTGTTTTCTGGAGTTGGTCTCAAGTAACCAGTTGTTGGTGCCAACTTGCCGAAAATCGATGCAGTGTGTTCAACCACATGGGCACTTGAGATCACTTGATACACGATCCAAATGACGATGTCGCAAAACTGGGTCGCGCTCAATGTCACCGAACACACTGCCGCGGCATGCCACGGCGTGGAGCATTTCGTCGCTCAGCAGGTCGGATTCACTGCTGGGGCTTTGGGTGGCTGAGATTGTTCTTGGCAGCACGGGTGTGGCTTCGGACTTAGATCTGTTTCCGATTGCAGAAGAGATGATGGATATGGGGCAAGGGGCCAAAACCAAGGCCATGGCTATTTAATTGGTTCAAGCTTCCTACTTCAATAGCTACTATGATAGGGCCGAGACCCAAAACCACCTTTAACAAGAACTCTTGCGGCTCAGGAGCACTTCCAGATCATGGCAGACAACGATGATGAGAAGGCTCAGAATTCACCCTGCCTGCTTCCAACCAATCCCTGTGAGTCATCAACACACGGTCTTGTAAAACAACTAAGATATCTCATCAAAGATCATACAAAACGGCAAGGTCCTAGGTAGATTCCTTTGCTAGTAATTACAAGTGCCTCGCTAGTAGTAACAAGTGCCTTACTAGTAGTAGCAAGAAGCTATTTAGATTTAATTTAAATTTAAATTAGATTAATAGCTTCTTGTTACTACTAGTAAGGCACTTGTTACTACTAGCGTGGCACTTGTTACTACTAGTATTTAAATCTAATTTAATGGATCCAAAGGCTTTGAGATCCGCTTCTCCGCTCCTGCCATCTATCGGGCCCATATCCGCCCATCGGCCAGGTCTACTGCCCCGAACGGCCGAACTGCGCTTCCAAGGCGACGGGTCGACGATTTCCCCACAGCATGGAACAAGTGCATCGCTACTAGTAACAAGTGCCTTACTTGCCTTACTAGTAGTAACAAGTGCCTTACTAGTAGTAACAATAAGCTACTAGGAACAAGTGCATCAATCTAGTCAATTTGACACGAGTCGACGTCTATACATGCAGTCAATACATGCATTTTTGTTCGTTTCTTCTTTAGACCGTTTTTCTTCCTTTGTAATTAAAAAGCACTTCATGTGTGGTTTAAATGCGTGCATTCTCTCAAAAATGGTCATCACACGCAGTCTCAGGGCTCTGTCAACGATTCGGACGAGTCACCTGGTTCAGCGCATCCCCCCCGTGGTGCAGGTGGCGCAAGTTCAAGGCCCAAAGACGGCTCCCAAGGCACGTGCTGTCTTGACGGCGGGCTTGCCGTATGCAGAACGTTTTGAGGCATGTGTTTTGGCACAAAAACGAAAAAAGCTCAAGAATCTTGGCTACAGAAACAAATCTTGGCTAAAACGTTTGATTCTCTTGGCACAAAAAGAAACTCCCCATACGCGTTTTAAATGTTTGCTGTTCTCTTTTGTTCAACATCGCTTTTTGGCTCCGCTCTTGAAAGATCTTCTCAGCAAAAGCTTGCGGGTGAAACCAGCTGCATCTGGTTTTCTTGGTGTCCCAAGATCCACAGGAGAAGTCCTGGGTCATTCGTGGAGCTCCAGGGGATAAGTTCAAGATCGAGTTCTTCCAACAGGCGAAGCAGCGGAGCAGCTACTTCAGTTTGTTCGCCTTTTCCTTTCGTGGTTTCTTTGACAAGCAAAAACAGTTTAGTTTTGATATGCGAATTTGATATGCCAAGGAGCAACATCTAAGAAAACCAATCTAGCTCACACAAACAATTGGTGATGAACAAATCTGCACGACGCAGCCATACCGTCGGAGCACTGCACAGTCCACCGACCATCTTTCATCGAAGGGTGCCCTCTGATCCAGGAGAAGAAGCGTTCAATTCTTTGGATGAAGATCTAGAGCCGCTGGGCGAATCTGATCGTTTCATCCACAGCGGAATCCGGAACAGCCGAGCGTTTGCGGCGCATCGGGACCATCCGAGGTCGGGCCGTCTGAGTTGCTAGGGCCGCGACAGAACACCGAAGGATCCGTCTTGAAATCCGACCAAAAGGAGAGATGTTTAGGTGAAAGGTTGCAGCTTCAAGATAGATTCCAATAAAACTCGAAATGGTTCATATAGACGTGATGATTTGAAATTACATTAAACACATAGTGATGTTCAAGTCTTTGGCGCCCGATCGCCTTGATCCCATCCAGCCAACCGATCCTAGCTTCCATTGCCAAAAAGACGTGTCGAGAGCGTGTGCGTGCGGCCCATTCTTCTGCTCTTCACGGTGTGCAGACACGACGAACGAAGCTTCATGCGTCATGGCACTCGTTTGATTCCACAAAGCATGAGAGATGAATGGCAGCACGCTGGCCCTTCTTGTCACGATTGTGTTCCTGATGGCGAAGAGGAAACGACTTAGGTAAGAGTCTTGCTTCGTATTTTCCACATTTGGCTTTCATGACCAGTTGATGATTCACAAAAAGCACGGCTCGACCAGTGAACCTGAGAAACATGGGAAGCACTAAACATGTGAAGTCTGTCCTTCCAACAGCAAGTGAATGCTGGGATTTACCAACTCCGCAACATCTCCATGATGTGCAAATGAAATGCTGCGTCATGTTTGCCCCCCCCCAAGCTCTCCTAATGCGACTTGGATCAGTTCAGCTTTCTGAACAGAGATATGGAAAAAGGGTTGATGCGTTCAGGAAAAAAAAAACGGACTAGCTTCTTGTTACGTACTACTAGTAAGGCACTTGTTCCTAGTAGCGATGCACTTGTTTCTACTAGCTTCTTGTTACTACAAGACTAGGCATTGCCAGGAATTGCCCCAGGTAGGATTGATCTTTCGAGCTATGGAGCCTGGTCCTCTTCAGTGCACCTTGGAGATTTCAGAGGGAGCTCTCCAAAGAATCAACGCCTTTTTTCTTCAACGTGGCAGGTCGAAAAGTCTGAAAGAAAGAACGGAAAAAAAAACGGTCTGAAGACGGCAGAAGAAAAAGATAAGAAATCAGGCAAGCCTCTTTGTCGGTCTAAAGGAACAAAAGAAAGAGAACGATTTAGTAAGCAGAATCGGGCAAACTAAAGCCTCCGTTTGTTTCTGCCCATGTCTCCGCATTCATGTTTGGCTGTTGGTGTGCTTTTGCTGGTGGGTTTCCGCGCCTCAGCTTGCTAAGGGCGGCCTGGATCCTACACAGAGGAGGGGTTGCACATGGTTGCACAACAGCAAATGGGACGGGGAGGGAGGAGGGAACATTTGGACACAATAGTGCTGAGATAACCTATGAATCATAGAACCATAGAATCATTCATGAGACGTTTTTGCCAAGTGTTCAGCTTTCTGGCCTTCTCCTTTGCTTCCAGTCGGTTCGAAACACCAGGCATGCCCACATCCGGTGCCTGCCAACCTGCCGAGCTCAAGGTGCTGTTCCGTCAGGTTTTGTTTAATGAAAAGATCTAAAGCAGAAAAGGATGAAAAGGATGATTTAACTTTGTTACTAGTAGCTTCTTGTTCCTAGTAGTAAGGCCAGGAGCCCCTAGTAGCGTCCTTGCTCCTAGTAGTAAGGCCAGGAGCCCCTAGTAGCGTCCTTGCTCCTAGTAGTAAGGCCAGGAGCCCCTAGTAGCGGAAATACGATCTATATTGGGTGTTTCTCATGACAACGCTTCTCGCTTCTCAGAGGGGCAATTTCACTGTGCCCCGTCAGAGTGACCACTCAAAAATGAAGCGAGCGACGCGCACTTGTGAGCCTCCTGCAGAGCTTTGAAGAGAAAGGGCTCCCCCTTTGTGCAGTTGATGTTTTGGGTTCTTTCTGAGCAGTCTTTGTGTCCGTCGTTATGTTTTTCCCACTCGCTCACCTAGAGATGGCAAGCAGCCCTAGTGGCTACTAGCATGTCCCCACTGCTTACAAGATAAAAGTGCATGTGGCTTCAGTATGTCGGGGTTCCCAGTTTGGTGTTGGGGGACTGACCTGCTTTGATCTTCTCAACGCCTGTATCTGTATCTAGTAGCGTCCTTGCTCCTAGTAGTAAGGCCAGGAGCCCCTAGTAGCTTCTTGTTCCTAGTAGCGATGCCAGGAGCCCCTAGTAGCGTCCTTGCTCCTGATCCTTTCATATCCTTTTGACCATGTTTGACCATTGATGGTGGAACTGGTAAAGCAGTTTCAATCGTGCCAGTTACATCGACAGTTGCTTTTCATTGGAGAGTGTTCACTTTTTTTGAATCCGGGGTTGGGCCGGTGTGAAACAAGACTTTTGCCTAAACCGAACCACAATGGTTGGGTTCATTGTGTCTAAACTGTCTGGTTTGTTTGGAAGGCACCACCTACGAGATGGCCTGCAACGCGGCTTGACGACCTTTGTGGTGCCTCACACAGTCCAAAAACCTTGGTTTGTGAAGGACATCGATCTATGTTTGAAAGGCAACTTTGCACGTGAACTCGCAACATGTAGTGATGTAATGCGGTTTCTTGAGTTCTTAACTAGTAACAAGAAGCTACTAGGGGCTCCTGGCCTTACTACTAGGAGCAAGGACGCTACTAGGGGCTCCTGGCATCGCTAGTAGTAGCATTCTTACTACTCGTAACAAGAAGCTACTGGGTCAAGCCCATTTCAGACCACTCGGAGCACACATGAAGCACGAAAGATCATGGAGTCCAACCTAATTACGCAATGGCCTCCAACCTATTAGCAGCCAGTTGCTACTCAGTTGCTTTAGCCAGGTCACGTAGGGATTCCGGTCACCACGTGCTTTCACCCACCAGGTGCTTCAGCTCGTCCGCCGTTGGAAGCGGCGCACCCTTCGGGCCACGCGCCCTCTTCGTCGTCTCACGCGCCTTCGCGCAGGCCGTGCAGGAATTGAGAGGCATCGCTACTAGGAGCAAGGACGCTACTAGGAGCAAAGGGGTGCACACAATGCAGTCACTGGAAGCTTCGATGCCATTGAGAGTCCATGAAGCCATCGCGAGATCACGGAACGAACACACGAAGCCTTCGAGTCCCCTCCGGAATCTTGCGTCGTTTGCTCATCGTTTGCTCTTGTCGTTTGATGGGACAAGTGTCCAATGTCTTGCGTGTTTAGTATAGGCTATTTGAACCTGGAAGGCGAGGGCCGTGCGACCAAGGAGGTGCTTTTGAAGAACGACGAGGATGAGGTGTTTGGGAATTGCTAGTTGAGTTGTTGGTTGGTAGAAAGTGCTCCTCCTTTCACAAAACATGCCGTAGAGAAAGCTCAATTCCAGAGCTCCAGAGCTTTCTGCTGCTCCCGCTTTCTGCCAGGAAGCCTCAGAACCCTTGGAGTATCTCAGAGAAGAGGACGAACCCGAGAAAACTGATGAGTCGGAGAGAGAGGAGATGGCTTTGGCAGAGGCAAGCTATGGCAAGCTTCAAGTCTCAAAAGGCAAAAGGTGCTACCACGGTGCACCGGGTATTTGGGTTACCATTGCTAGTAGGTTGGAGGCCATGGCTACTGGGTTCACCTTCCTGTGGTCTTCTCTACCCATGCTGTGATGTATCTTTTAAGAGTGGCACCGTGGGATGCACAGCGAGGCGGTTGAAGTGAGACCTGTGGTGAAGAAAGGCAAAGAGCGGAACGCCGACTTGGTGCAAGACTCAAACCTTCTTGAGGAGTCTTGAGGAGTCTTGGGGGGGGATGAAATCAGATGAAAGGGGGTCTGATTCATGGGGCGCAGAAGGGGCAGAGGCAGATTCTGAAACTGCACAGAGGCAGTTTTGGATAGTTTAGGCAGTTGTCCGATTTGAAGATCTTGATCGTTCTGGTGCATCTTTTGAAGGTCAATCCACCTCTTCCAGAAGGCATTCGACCCTACACTCCTGGTGAAGGTCGGAACACCTTGGCAAACGGTTGGCACCCTTTGTCGAGTTGCATTTGAACCCAAATAGCAATGGCCTCCAACCTAAGAGTTAAGAGCCCTCCAACCTAAGAGCGATGGCCTCTAACCTAGAAGCAACGGCACCCTACCCTTTGTCGCTTTGAATTTGTCTCAACTTCCAGAAATAGAGCTCTACGGCTCTACATGAATTACGTGGCCATGCAGAACGACGGTCTCTTGAGTGCAGTCTCCAGCCACAACCATAACACCCCTGGAATTGTTGCACATCTCAAATAACCTCAGTTGATTGAAGCTGAGAGTTGTAATAAGATCTTTCAACTTGTTCAACCTTTCTGCAACCCTTCAGGGCACCCTTTAGGCACCTTGCAGGACACCGTGCAACCAGAAGAACCTCTTCTTCGTGCACCCTGCCAGGCTATGGATCGAACGCGATCCCCTTCGCCGGGATCTCCCCGAAGACCTCCATGCGCCGCAACCCTTCAAACCGGGCGAAGGCCATGACATGCCACATGTTTGGCATGCAAACAAATAGTGAAAAACAAGTAATTAAGGGCAAGTAAAAAATGCAACATTCCTTCCGATTCACATGTTATTTTGTTGACATCACCCTGATGCGTGGGCCATCGAGGACATCCAGATGCGAAGATGAATCCCACTGCTCGTGGTTTGTTTTCCCAATCCTTCTTTGGCTGCCATGGTGGAGACGGGCCAGATCAAGATGTTTCAGAAACGGAAGTCAACGAACAATCCGCCCAAGTCTGTCAACAGGTCGACCATGGACCCTGTTTTTGCTGACGAGCCGCTGTTTGCCAGACCATCGAGATGCTGAAGGAGGCGAAAGAGATCGCAGACCGGAAAAGCCAGGCTCAACGAGTGGGTCGACTGAACCGGTCTCGGGTGCTGTCGGTCTCAGGTAGAGACGCTTCCAGCAAGGGAATTTAGCTTGCAAGATCTTGCAAGATTGTTTGGAGGCCATCGCTATGTCCATTGGTCCTGACCAAACTTTGCATCTCAGAGATGTTCCGGGAGACTTCAGCTGCTTCAGTCAGCTCAATCTCAGGAGCTCGCGGAGCGTCGAAGTCGTTTGCCTTCGCCATAAGCTGAGCGACACCTGAGCATTTCATACTCATCTTGGAATTCTCCCACTTACCTGCAATGTTGCCATGATGGAGGCCGAGGCATTCGGCCCCCGAAGAGTTACCTCACAAGCTACAGACCATCTTAGGTGTTGCTATAGTAGCTTTCTTTGGATTGGCCGGTGGCCCTGCCTCCTTACTTAATTAAGTGGGCGCCTACTTAATTAAGTAACGGAGTACGCTCACGGCGACTAGTTAGCTTCTAGTATCTGGACGCAGGATAGCTCACGCTCGCACCAATGATTTGGCTCCTAGATTTTAGGGAACCTTAACACTTGGCATTATGAATGAAAATGAGGAAAGAGGTCTTAAAGTCTACAGGCACCCAAAGGTCTAAGGAAGACCAAAAGAAGAAACGAAGAAAACAGAGACAAGCTACAGAGACCCATCACATGGGAACTTGCTGAGGCAACGTCTCCCCGTCCCGGAGCATCTCTTCAGCCAACTTGAGGAGAAGGGTTGGTGAGGGCCTCAGGGTGTCGTCATCTTCAGAGTGAGGGGTTCACACCGGGTAAGTCAAAGACCCACTTTGAGTCTGTTGGAGCAAACATTTGTGATGTTTCAGAGCGACACACATTTGACGGGTCCCATCCATGTTTTCACGGCCTCGACCACCCAGCTCGATGTCCGTCCGTAGCGATGGCGATGGCCTCCCACCCAAAGATTTTGTCGAACGCAACGACTCCGCCAGGCTGGAGATGTTGGAGTCCAATGGACTTCAAGTGGAGCGGCTTGAGATGGGAGACTCCAGGCGCGAACTGCAGCGACGAGCTTTGTGGGGGACTCTTTGGATGTTGAAAGCCTCCATTTAGGAGCTCCACTTGAAAACATAAGTTAATCATTGATGACAAGCATTTTGTGGTTTCCTATTTGTGCATGTGAGGTGGGTACATTTGCAAATCTCCGGCGAGGAGGAGAAAGTGAGAGCAGGCTAGCCAGCTCACAACTGGGTAAGAAGGGAAGCTCTCTCAGGGCCTTCTAGGTCTAAAGGGAATTAAAAAAATGGTAAACAAAAGGGACAACAGATGGGCACTGTGAACGTGGTATGTAATCTTCAGGGTCGCAGTGCAAGAGTGATGAAACATCCTAAAAGGTAATAATCAATTGTTAGGGCATCCCCGGAGCCGATCTTGTTGTTGAGTGAGACCCATACCAACATGTATAAGAATCAAGGCCAATCAAAATTGGTGAAGGAATTTGTCAACTGAAATGAGCAGATGCTTATTGCATGCGTTTGCTCAACGGAGGTGTCTTGAGGCTGATGTCCATCATGGTGCCACCACGTGCCTCAGCCACTTGGTGTGAATTTCTTGCGCTCGAGCAGAAAAGCGAAGAGAGCTGCAAATGGCTACAATTGAAAGCCACATATCACCACATAGACATGATACCACCTCCACCTCGCCATTCTCCATAAGAACCAAATTGGAGAGGCGAGGTACGCAAAGCAAGCGAAAGAGAAAGGCCGGTCGTCTCACTGGAGGCCTAGCCACTTGGACCGCGGTGCTACGGCCGGTGCCTCGCCTGGGGCAGAAAGAAAGACAGAAAGACAAAACATCCAAGAAGCGATGGCTTCCAACCGTGCGTAGCTTCTTGCTACTAGTAGTATTGGCCTCCAACCTAATTACTAGCGATGGCCTCCAACCTAGAAGCGATGGCCTCCAAAAGAATGCCAATGCGGTTGAGATCAGTGCAAAGAGCACATGCAGTAGGTTGGAGGCATCTTGGTTTTGGGGTTCTCACAAAGGGGTGATGGAGAGAAGAAGGGCTTGCCGCTGTGAGGTCCAAGCTTGCCGGATCGCACCGGAAAAAGAGAAGTGGATTGAGCTTGGCAGCAGGGCGTGTGTGAACATCAAGTGACTACCAGCAGTACCCACCAAGCCTGTTATATATTACCGTCACATTCCAAACGGTGTTTCTTTGGGATCCAACAGAGTCGTCAAGACCGGTCAATTCGGTGGTTGGAGGAAAGGTCTCGATTGTCCACACCAGTGGGCCTGTCTTATAGGTTATATTCTATCAGTCGTTAACCTGGACACCCCCAATATAGAGATCCTCATGTTGCATAATTGACTTCTGGGTTAATCTACCAGCGAAGGCGCTGCGCTTTACGGGTAATCCCACTGGAATGCCTGGCTTCGTCAATGTGCCCCTCTTGGTGCTGCCAATCCATGATGTTGATGATCTCGAAGTTTGGGTCAACACTTTCTGAGAGCGACAGGAATGCGATGTGTGCCGCAGCATCAGCAGCGCTTCTCAAGTAACAGTTGCAGCAACGCAGCGAAGGCACCACACCACACCTACACAATCCACTCACATCATGCATTTCAAAAGTCACATTATGTTTCTTCAGTCAACAGTCCACCAAGTTTGAAAAAGACAAGTGCACATTCGCCTCAAACCCATGGTAACAAAACTTGTGGGAGAATGCACGATCTCTATTTGTGAATGCACCAGGACTTCTCTTTTTGGCCCACACATCAACGCAGCAACCGTAGTTATTGAAATTTGGTGAGGCACAGACACTTCTCTATCGTGTTTCCAATTTGTAGGCCACATTGATCTGAGAACCTACTTCCCTCCCAGCAAGCACTGAAGACTTCGACTGGGATTTGGGGAAGAAGTTCAACTGTTTATTCACCCCAAGCCATCCGATACCCCTTCTACAGAGCAGAGTAACCAAATTTATGGCTCTTTCGGGGGGCTTGGCGTAAAAACTCACAAACAAATTACAAAAAGAAACAACGCGACTAGGAACAAAAACGCTACTAGGGGCTCCTGGCCTTACTAGGAGCAAGGACGCTACTAGGGGCTCCAGCTCCACCGGTCTCGTGGCTGTGTCCAACCGGTGCGTGTCGAGGCGCGTGTTGGGGTGTGTGGGAGCGCTCAGAGGTGAACGGATTCTGGGATTCTGGGAGTGCTCCTAGTAGTAACAAGTGCATCGCTACTAGTAACAAGTGCCTTACTAGTAGTAACAAGAAGCTAGTAGAAACAATAAGCCAAGCTTCTTGCTCCTAGTAGCGATGCCAGGAGCCCCTAGTAGCCTCTTTTGCTCCTAGTAGCGATGCCAGGAGCTACTAGTAGCGTCCGTGCTCCTAGTGGCGATGTCCTTGTTCCTAGTTGTCCAAGAAATTTGGAGACTCTGCGATTCATATTTGAAAGGCATTGAAAGTCATTGGGATGACCCAAGGCTCCGGATTTGTTGGAACTGTATTCTTTCACTCATGTTTGTTCCAAAGTGTATTTGCAAAAGCTGGGTCTTCAAGTTTGTGGAACCCACAACAGGGCTGGGTCTTCAAGTAAAAGATGGACCGACAGTGGAAGTGCGATTCCTTGGTTTCATCCTCATGAGATCAATTCTAGCTGAGAAAGGGGTCAATGCAGCATGTTCACCATCCTGAAGAACATGAGTGCTGTTTTCCTGCGTGTGTTTTCACTTCCCTTTCTTCTAATTTTGTCATAGAAAACAATAAGCTACTAGGAACAAGTGCATCGCTACTAGTAGCAAGGGCCTTACTACTAGGAACAAGAAGCTATTAGAAACAAGTGCATCGCTTCTAGTAACAAGTGCATCGCTAGTAGAAACAAGTGCCTTACTAGTAGTAGCAAGAAGCTATTAGTAACAAGCATCAACAGCGTTTCGTCGGGTTTTTGGGAGCCTTTGGCCACGTTCGCTCTCCGCAGCGTCCCCAACCGTTGAGGTCATGGACAGTGGCAGCTCGGCCCAGGAGGCCCAGGAGGCCGACTTCACAGTCAGCGAGGTGCGGCTGGACGATTCGCTAGCTTCTTGTTACTAGTAGCCCCTAGTAGCGTCCTTGCTCATGAAAACTTGACAGATCGGATCTTGTTTCGTGTTCAGAATCAGAGACAGTTGGCCAAAATGGATGGTTTCCAAGGCGGCTGAGGAGGCCGATGTACTCGCCCACGATGGTCACGGGCTCGGCCAAAGAAGAGCCTGGGCTCTTGTCTTCTTCCAAAGTGTCAAGTGTTGTGCCATTGAGCTTGATTTGAATTTTCTTGGGCGCTTCGTGTTTTTTTGGACATTGTTCGAAGAGCTTGGATGTACACCAAATTGTTTCGGTTTAAACCGCGGCAGACAGTGGATAGGTTCGTCTCGCCCAGGCTTGGTGTGACGCGTCTGGAGGTGTGACGCGTCTTGTGGCACCAGGGACTTGGGGTGCGCTGCTGTGTTTCTATGGCCAACAATTGGCATCACAAAGGTGTTATTCCTCATTTGAGGTTTTCTGGGTGCCAGAGCTTAAATTCAGATCCCTTTCCTATTTTGGGGCACCTTGTCACTTTGTCATATGGTGGTTTTGTCGTTTCAATCGGGAAAGGTCGACAAACATCTACGACTGTGCAAAAGCTAGTAGTAACAAGTGCATCGCTAGTAGTAACAGGTGCCTTACTAGTAGTAGCAAGAAGCTACTAGGTTGGAAGACACACCCTTGGAAAATGGAACGGTCGCACGTCTTCCAGCAGGTTCCGTCGGGTTCAGGTCACAAACCTCTGGTGCTGTCCATCGGTTGACGTGGATGGAGACAGCGCAACTCCGTTCCTGACGGACATCGGTTTCACCTTCCAACAGACCTATATTGCATCCGGCATCAGGGCATATCGCAAACGTGAACATGGTTGGAAATCGTCTAGTACATAGAATATCAGTCTCCCTGGAAATGTTCGCTTCACAAATCAATATAATGCCATCAGGCCCAGATAATAAGAGATAGAAATTATAATATTGGGCCTGATAGGGTTGGATGCAGTGGACTCTGCCAATCTTGGACTATGCACTCTTGGCAATGTCATGACATGTCTATTTTGTATGTTTTCTTTTTGCATTGGAGGACATGATGTTGTAGCGGTTTTGTAAGCCCGAACAGTTCATTTCACAATCCCCAGCTATATAAACCTAGTAGGACTGAAGTCGTTGCATTGTTCATGTTTTGTTGGTTCAATTGTTTTGGGTGCCGAGCAACAGTGCCTTGCAAGGCAGAAGTACTGACCGCAGTCTGGAAAGCACTGCCACTTGGTGACAATTAGGAGTCAAGAGAGGGTCATATTGAGGCATTGAGCTATAGCCCTCTTTGAAAGAGCTTCAATTGCACCCGTTGTTTGATGTGTTTGCAACTTCCCTCCCACGTTCAATGCATCAGAAAGAAGCAAAGAATTGTTTCTAGTAGCGAACATTGTTACTACTAAATTGTGCGAAAAGAACCACTTCTGATCACCTGAGCTGCCACGTGCCGAGGAGCTCCGTGGGCAGGTGGAAGCGATCTTTGAGGCGACATTCGGAGGTGGCGAGTGCCACGATGGCGGTGGCATTTGGCTGGAGCGGCAAAGCTCCTTGGATGGGACGGTGAAGGAAGGTTTCCTCTGGGCCAGAGTTCTGAGATTCTGAGGCCAAGTTATGAGGTCTCATTAGACGGAATGCATTTTCGAGAGAGTCGAGGTTGATTCTTTCGATAAGGGTTTTGCAAAACTCACATTTGCCCTGGTCTGGTGGCCAAGAGATTCTACCGTATCATGCCGTATCTTGAAGTCAACCGACGGCCCAACAGCTGTCCAAGCCGTATGACATCCTCAGGCTACATCGAAATTCTTCAAGATATTGATGGTGCCACGCTGGAGGAGGCCCATGCCATTCTGCAGGAGATCTCACACGTCCGCCGCGAGAAGAACTGGGAAACAGTTCGCCTGTTCTAGGCTGGTCTCCAAAGAAATGCTTTGGATTTGTTTCCCACTCTGTGTATAGACACCGATCAGCAGGACTACCCGGAGGATTCATGGCTTCGCAGCTTGGCAAGCTTGGCAAGAGTAGTCCACAAGGAAGATCTGAGTGGGCTGTCAGGAGTGAGTGTTCCTGTCCAAGAAACAGTGATCAGACTGCTCAAAGCTCGCGTAGCAAGGCAGCTGGTGTAGCCAATACAAGTCTTGAGGTGTCAAAGACTTCTTGGACATCCTCTTCACCTCAGAGGTGTAGTGGGAGATCCATAGCGGGCCGGCATCCAGCTGGTGCGACTTCTCAATGGGATGGGATGCAAAGAGCTTTGGATTCATGATGATTCATAGCTACTTCTTTATTAACTTATTTTGTATCCCGAAAGTTTGCCAAAAAACGACAGGACGACTGTGATGCTCAAGACAGACCGTCAACGGGATACCAGCAACGGTTGTTCGGTTGTTCCGCCATGCTCCGCACTTCAGAGCAGACATATCTGGTGGACATCCTAAGTATCAACGGCATCATTTCAACACCATAGACACTTCGTTTTCCCGAATGCGTAGCGAAGGGTTCTCGTTTAACTCTGGGGGTCTGGGGGTAGAGTCTTGTTCGCGACCCGTTGCTTCTATGTTCGCAACCGTCCGCAACCGTTCGCAACCGTTCGCAACCGTCCGCAACCGTCCGCAGTAGGTCGCTAAGGCGCTGCCATTGGGGGAAGCTTTTGCAAGTGACTTTGCATGGATGTGTCACGTGTCAGTTTGCACCGCTATTCCATTGTGATTTGCATAAAAAAGACATGTCGCGCAAGCAACGTGATGCGTTTCGCTGCACAGGCGCAGCGTTTGGTGAGATCTGCAGATTGCTGCGCAGTTCCATTGGGATTAGCGTTTGGAGAGTCGTGTTTTTGGGGTGTTGGATGTGGCCGTGCCATTGGGATTTGCGTTTCAGGGTGTGGCATCGAAGCTCTGTTTTCGTGACAAGTCTCAGCTGAAATGCCGATTTTGGTGGATGGGAGTGTGCTCAGAACGGGTCGAAATCATTCCAAACGTGTGGTGCGGTGCAAATTTTGTTGAAGCTCACATGAGATGACATCGTTACTTTTCGTGGCAGGCGCAGGACTTTGTGCGGGTTTTGAGGTGTGCAAGTGGGATTTTCGTGGCAGGCGCAGGGAATCGTGAGGTTGCGATGTGTGACGGAGGTGACATTTCGTGGCAGGCGCAGTACTTTGTGCGCGTTAGACCTGTGGACGCGGAAAGATTCGTGGCAGGCGCAGGGAATCGGGAGGTTGTGAGTTGCGGTAGAGGTGAATGTCGCTGTCACATTGGGACTCGCGAAACTGCTTGGCAGGGCTGCGTGATGTGTGTGCTCCGATGGATGTTTCCGCTGGACTTTTGGAGGAAGTCTCGTGCGAAACGTTCGTTTTGCAGACTTTGATATGTGAGTTTTTGAGGAAGTCTCGTACGAAACGCTCGTTTTGGGGACTTGACATGTGACTTTTGGAGGAAGTCTCGTACGAAACGCTCGTCTTGCAGTCTCGCAGCGTGACTTTTGGAGGAAGTCTCGTACGAAACGCTCGTTTTTGAGACTTGACGCATGACTTTTGGAGGAAGTCTCGTACGAAACGCTCGTCTTGCAGTCTCGCAGCGTGACTTTTGGAGGAAGTCTCGTACGAAGAGTGTGCCCTACAGGAGTGTCTCACAAGAGTGTCCTACAAGAGTGTCCCACAAGAGTGTCCTACAAGAGTATCCCACAAGAGTTTCCCACAAGAGTGTCCCACAAGAGTGTCCCACAAGAGTGTCCCACAAGAGTCTCCTACAAGAGTGTCCCACAAGAGTGTCCCACAAGAGTGTCCCGTATATGAGTGTCCCACAAGAGTGTCCCACAAGAGTGTCCCGCATGTCCCACAAGAGTGTCCCACAAGAGTGTCCTACAAGAGTGTCCCACAAGAGTGTCCCGTATGAGTGTCCCACAAGAGTGTCCCACAAGAGTGTCCCACACGTGTGTCCCACAAGAGTGTCCGACAAGAGTGTCCCATAAGAGTGACCCACAAGAGTGTCCTACAAGAGTGTGTAACAAGAGTGTCCCGTAAGAGTGTCCCACAAGAGTGTCCTACAAGAGTGTCCCACAAGAGTGTCCTACAAGAGTGTCCCGTAAGAGTGTCTCACAAGAGTGTCCCACAAGAGTGTCCCGCAACCATGTCCCACAAGAGTGTCTCACAAGAGTTAAGAGTGTCCCACAAGAGTGTCCTATAAGAGTGTCCCACAAGAGTGTCCCACAAGAGTGCCCTACAAGAGTGTCCCACAAGAGTGTCCTACAAGAGTGTCCCACAAGAGTGTCCTACAAGAGTATCCCACAAGGGTTTCCTACAAGAGTGTCCTGTAAGAGTGTCCCACAAGAGTGTCCCACAAGAGTGTCCTACAAGAGTGTCCCAC